GCGTGGGTGGTGTCACGGACATAGGTAGGGAGTTCCTGGACCAAGGGGGAGAAAATGGAGTCGAGATAGTTGGAGATCAGTTCGGTGGGGCAGGAGCAGGCGGAGACAATGGGTCGACCAGGGCATTCAGGTTTGTGGATTTTGGGAAGGAGATAGAAGCGGGCAGTGCGAGGTTGGGGAACGATGAGGTTGGGGGTTGGGTGGGAGGTCACCTGAGGTGATGAGGTTGTGGATGGTTTGCGAGATGATGGTTTGGTGCTCAGGGGTGGGGTCATGATCAAGGGGGCGGTAGGAGGAGGTGTCGGAGAGTTGGCGTCCGGCCTCGGCGATGTAGAGGTCAGTGCACCATACTACAACTGCGCCTCCCTTGTCCGCGGGTTTTATGGTGAAGTTGGGATTGGAGCGGAGGGCTGCACGTTCTGCGGGGGAGAGGTTGGAGTGGGTGAGAGGGGTGGAGAGGTTGAGACGAGATAATTTGGGAAATTCGCAGAATGATTTTGATTCAAAGGATGGAACTGTTCATATCAGAGAGGTTTATTTTTATGCAAGGCATTCAGTGAAGGGGCCAAGGTCTAGATGGTAAGGAAATGAAGGATTTCAGAGATTGTGGGATTTGAGGCTGTTAAGATCAGGGCAAGGGGTTAGGGGTGAAATCAGGGAAGGTGGGTAGAGGTCAGAGATTGAGAGAGATTGTTTAATATACCACAGGGTACGTGTTGGAGATTGCAGAGTACTGTTTTATTATTGGGCAATGATGAAAAGACTCCTGCTCTTCCTCATCAGTGTTGTCAAAACTTGATAGATATGATCCTGCTCACCTTTACGTGCCCTGCTTTTTAAGCCCTGGGAAATCTATTAATTAAATGAAACTGTTAAAATGGAGACACACAACTCCCAAAAATCTTCTATACAATAACCTGCATTTTTTCAAATGATTGATCACCCTTCCCACCTTACCTCCTCATCCTTTGAGCAGATTTATTGCTTTCCATTCCCGATCAGTCTTTGTTAATTGCTGAAATGAATGATTTTGACATGGGCTCGGTGAGGCTTAGAATTTAAAGTATTTATATTTCATCTGACCCAAGCATATCAGTTGTTGGGGTTAAAATGACCTGATTTATTTCTGATTGCCCTTTTGGCTGTGTTTCAAATGTGAGGTTTTATCAGATGTTTCTGCTCACGTTCTGGCATTCTCAGCTTCATCTTCCTTTCCTGGGAGTATGCTCCGCTGGATTAATGGCAACTGCATTCCAGCACTATCTCTCAGCCCAGCTCTAGCTTTTCACAAACAACAAGCCTCTCCTAGCCAGTTCTGGCCTAGATTTGTTTCCAGAGCTCAGATGCGGAAAAAATTACTGCTTCTGTGCTTTCAACCCCACTCTCTGCTGTAAATGGCTTGGTGGGTAACTTGCAGGTAATGGTGTTCCCATGTATCTGATGTCATTGTCCTTCCAGATGGTAGTGGCTTTGAGATTTGAAGGTGCTGTCTAAGGATCTTTGGTGAATTTCTGCAATGCATCTTGTAGATGGTGCCCACGGCTTCTGCTGAACATTGGTAGTGGAGGGAATGAATGCTTATGGATGTGATGCCAATCAAGCAGGCTGTTTTGTCCTGGATGGTGCCAAGCTTTTTGAGTGTTGTTGGAGTGGCACCCATCCAGGTGAGTGGGGAGTATTCCATCACACTCCTGACTTGCGCCTTGTAGATGGTGGACAGACTTTGGGGAGTAAGGAGGTGAGTTACTCACTACAGTATTTCTACTCTCTGACCCTGAGCTGTTGTTGTGGTCGTGTGGCAAGTCTAGTTGAGGTTCTAGGCAATAGTAACCCCAAAGATATTGATAGTGGGGGTTTCAGTGATGGTTATGCCATTGAATGTTAAGGGGCAGTGATTAGATTGTCTCTTATTGGGGATGGTCATTGCCTCGCATTTGTGCAGTGTGAATGTTACTTGCCACTAGTTAAGCCTGGATATTGTCCAGATCTTGTTGTGTTTGAACATGGATTGCTTCAGCATCTGATAAGCTGGGAATGGTGGTGAACATTGTGCAATCATTAGCGAATGTTCCCACTTCTGACCTTATGATGGAAGGTAGATCATTTATGGAGAAGTTGAAGATGGTTGGGCCTAGGATATTAACCTGAGGAACTCTTGCAAAGATGTCCTGGAACTGAGATGATTGACCTCCAACAACCACAACCATTTTCCTATATACCAGCAAAGAGCTTGCCCCCAATATCCATTGATTCCAATTTTGCCACATTCCTTGATGCCACACTTGGTTGAATATAGCTTGATGTCAAAGGCTGTCACTTTCACCTCCCCTCTGATATTCAGCTCTTTTGTCCAAGCTTGAACCAAGGCTGTAATGAGTGGCCTTGGTGGAATCCAAACTGGACATCACTAAGGAGGTTATTGCTGAGCAGGTGATGCTTGATAGCACTGTTGATTACACCTTCCATCACTTTACTGATGATCAAGAGTACACTGATGGTGCAGTAATTGGCTGGGTTGTATCTATCCTGCATTTTGTATACAGGACCGATGTGGGCAATTTTCTACATTGTTGGGTAAATGCCAGTGTTGTAACTGTATTAGAACAGCTAGGCTAAGGGAGCAACAAGTTTTGGAAACCAAGCCTTCAGTATTATTGCTGGAATGTTGTCAGGGTCCATTGCGTTTGTAGTGTCCAGTGCCTACATGTTTTCTTGATATCACATGGAGTGAATCAAATTAGCTGAAGATGGAGGAAGCTGAGATGAATCATCCATTTGGCACTTCTGGCTGAAGATTGCTACAAATGCTTTAGCTTTATATTTTGTACTTTTCTTTCGTACTATCTTTAGTTGGGCTCTACCATCATTGAGAATGGAGATATTTGCAGAGCCTCCTCCTGCTCCAATGAGTTGTTTAATTGTCCATCACCATTCACAACTAAATGTAATAGGACTGCAGAGCTTAGATCTGAATGGTTAGTTGTGGGATAGCTTAGCTCTGACCATCACTTGCTGCTTATGCTGTTTGGTAAGTACTCCTGCTTGGTAGTTTCACCAGGTTGCTCCTGGCATGCCCTCCTGCACTCTCCATTGAGCCAGGGTTGATCCCGTGGTTTGATGGTAATGGTTCAGTGGGGGATGCCAAATCATGAGGTTGCAGATTGTGCTGGAGTACAATTTTGCTGCTGTTGAAGGTCCACAGCACCTCATGGATGGGCGGGCGAGTTGCAAGATCTGTTCAAAGTCTGTCCCATTTAGTACAGTGATAGTGCCACACAACATGATGGAGGATATTCTCAATGTGAAGGCAGCCCAAAGACTGTGCGGTGGTCACTCTAATTGATAGTGTCGCAGGCAGATTTCTGAGGATAAGATTGAGTATGTTTTCCACCATTGTTGGTTTTCTCACCACCTGCTGCAGACCCAGTCTAGCAGCTATGTCTTTTAGTCCCTGACCAGCTCAATCAGTAATGCTACTGCTGAGCCACTCTTGGTGGTGGACATTGAAATCTCCCACCATGAGTACATTTTGTGCCTTTGCCATCCTCAGTGCCTTCTCCAAGTGTTGTTCAAAATGAAGGAGTACCGATTCATCAGCTGAGGGAGGATGGTACATGGTAATCATCAGGAGGCTTCCTCACCCATGTTTAAGCTGAAGCCATGAGAACGTTAGGGATCTGAAGTCAATGCTGAGGACTCCCAGGCAACTTCTTCCTGACTCCTAGCTGTGCTAGGTCTGTCATACCCGTGAGATTGCAACTGTTTTCAATACATATTAATGACTTGGAGGAAGGAATTGAATGTACAGTAGCCAAATTTGCAGCTGATGCAAAAATAGATAGAAAGACAGGTTGTGAGGGGCATAGAAACAGTTTACAGAGAAATATCGATAAGTCTTGTAAATGGGCAAAACATTGGCAAATGGAGTGTAATGTTTGAAAGGGAGAACAAAGAACAGTATTATTTAAATGGAGCAAAGCTGTGGAAAGTTGGCAGGAGGTTGGCCAGGATAGGACTTTATTTCTTGGAATGTAGGAGAATGAGGGGTGACCTTATTGAGGTGTATAAACTCATGAGGGGCATAGATAGGATGAATGCATATAATCTTATTCCCAGGTACAGCAAATTGAAAATGAGAGTGCATAGGTTTAAGGTAAGAGGGGATAGATTTAAAAAGGACCTGAGGGGCAACGTCTTCACACACAGAGTGGTGTGTATATGGAATGGGCTGCCGGAGAAAGTGGTTGAAGCAGGCACAACAGCAACATTTAAAAAACGTTTGGATAGGTACATGGATGAGAAGGGTTTAGAGGGATATGGATCAAATGCAGGCAATTGGAACTAGCTGAGTGGGCACCATTGTCAGCTTGGACCAGTTTGGGCCGAATGGCCTGTTTCCATGCTGTATTACTCTATGACTCTATAACAGCGCAGCATAGGAATATGTCCTTCAGCTTACCAAGACTGTAACAACACATGATGACTTTCTAAACCAAAAACCTCTACATGGTCCATATTCCTCTCTTCCCTGCCTATTCATATATCTGTCAAGATGAGTTTGAAGCGTTGCTTTTGTTTCCGCCTCCATCACCTCCTCTGGCAGTACATTCTAGGCACTTACCACCCTCTATGTAAAAAAACTGCCTCTCACACCTCCTTTAAATGTAGCCCTCTTTTACCTTAAAAGTGTATCTCCTAGTTAATGACTTTTCTACTCTGGGAAAAAGATTCCGATTATCCATTCCATTCCACCCATTTTGCAAACTTCTTTCAGGTTGTCCCTCATGTTTTGATGTTCAAATGAAAACAAATCAAGTTTGTTCAATCTCTCCTCATAGCTAATGCCCTCCAAACCGGCAGCATCCTGGTAAATCGTTTCTGAACCACATCAACTAAATCAACCTTATCAATTACAGACAATAATCTAAGAAATGATTACATAACCTTACCCACGAGTCACCAAACTCAAGTCTCTCAATCCTGCCCTCTATTTCTAACAGACTACAACCACAAAAAGTAAGTACTTTATCTGTCTCCAGACACTACTCACTGAATCTGCAAACCTGGTTTCTGAGCAGCCAAGTCTGTCATTTTTTTGAGTTGTGACATCACCCCTGGAACTCCACCCTAGATTCAGCGCCATGTTCACTCTGACTGACCCCATTCCTCAGGTATTTATCCTGCTGTCACTGGCACTGTTCACTCCTATGTTTCCTCTGTTACTGCTGCTGTTACTGCTTGGACTGACTATTGTATGGTGCATTTGCAAATTCCCCATTTCAATCTATTTTTGTGACACACAAAGCAAATGCTCTTATCTTTTACAGTTGTGAACAGAAATTCATTTTCCCATTTCACATGAAAGTTCTGCATTCTTGATTTCCTTTTAGATGATCTCAGTTCATCAATCATCATTATTGCGTGACCTTGGGGTTTATGACATCATTCTGTCACTGGTCACACAGCAGGAAAGTCTCTGAATCCACACCTCTGGAACATGCAGAATGTTGCTATTCAAATGTGGAGGCACAGGAGGTCACTTGTGATTTGTGACTAGTTGTTTCCAGCCCCTGTTTAGTTTGTGTTGGTCAGATACTGGACGGGATACAGCAGCATTCCCTGAAACTTTTCATAATCCTATACAGGTCTATTGGATAAGCAGCTGAAGAAAAATAATTGCTGAGAATGGGTGGAAAAACAGCTCTATCTTGGTTGTTTTTCAGAGAGTCCACATGGCCATGATGGGTTGAATAGCCTCCTAAGTTTCGAGGACTGCAAAATATTGGGTTATAGACATCAGCTCCTAATGTATTTCTTATTCACATATTCCAATTGCCACCATTTGTCAGTTCTGATAATCTGTAGATTTCTTAAAAACAACCTCTGCTTGTTTGAACATTTTGCAAACTAAAAACTTTTCTACTGAGATAATAGTGTGTTTACCCTTGTGTAAGGACAGAAAACAAAACTTGGTTATGATCCCAGGCAGGTCTCCTCTGAACTATTTCAGACTTTCAGTGTCTGGGTTTTGAACAAAACGAACAAATGAAACAAGTACAGCACAGGAACAGGCCCTTTGGCCCTCCAAGCCTGTGCTGACCATCATGCCCTAATTAATCTAAAAACAAACCTGCCATTTTTCACTCTGTATCCCTCTATTCCCTCCCTATTCATTTACCCGCCTAGATACCTCTTAAATGTCTTTAATGTGCCCGCTTCCACCACCTTTTCTGGTAGTGCATTCCAGGCTGCTACCACTCTCTGCATGAAAAACTTCCCTTGCACATCTCCCTTAAACTTTCCCCCTCTGACCTTGAACCTGTGCCCCTTGTAATTAACACTTCAACCCTGGGAAAAAGCCTCTGACTATCCACCCTATCTATGCCTCTCATAATTTTGTAGATCTCAGCCGCCGTGTTTCCAGTGAAAACAATCCTAGTCTTTTTACCCTTTCCTCATAGTCAATGCCCTGGAGACCAGGCAACATCCTGGTGAAGTTTCTCTGTACTCTTTCCAAAGCTTCCACATCCTTCTAGTAGTGTGGTGACCGAAACTGCACACAATACTCCAAATGCAGCCTAACAAGGGTTTTATGTAGCTGCAACATGTTTTGCCATATCTTGTACTCCATGCCAGGGGTGATGAAGGCAAGCATGCCATATGCCTTCTTAATCATCTTGGCTACCTGTGTTGCCACTTTCAGGGAACTGTGGACCTGCATGCCCAGATCCATCTGAATTTTAGTGTGCCTAAGGGTCCTTCCATTTACAATATAATTCACACCTGAAGTTGATCCTCCAAAATGAATCACCTCGCATTTTTCTGGACTAAACTCCATCTGCCATTTCTGTGCCCAAGTCGCCAATCTATCTATATCCTGGTGTATACTTTCACAATTGTTGGCACTATCAGTAACTCCACCAATCTTCATGCCATCAGCAAACTTACTTATCAAACCACACATATTTTCCTCCAGATCATTTATATATATTAAAAAACAACAAAGGACCTAAGACTGATCCCTGTGGAACACCACTAGTTACTGGTCTCCATTCTGAAAAACATCCTTCCACCACTACCCTCTGTCTTCTATGACCAAGCCAAAACAAGTCATTCAGCCCAACAAATCCAAACTGACTCACCCCCTATGCTGTAACCCTACATTTCCCATGACTAAACCATCTACGTACGCATTCCTGGACACTATGGATAATTTCCCATGGCCAATCCACCTAACCTACACATCTTTGGACTGTGGGAGGAAACTGGAGCAACTGGCAGAAACCTACACAGACACAGGGAGAATGTGCAAACTCCACACAGACAGTTGCCTGAGGCTGGAAAAGAACCCGGGTCCCCGGCGCTGTGAGGCAGCAATGATAACCACTGAGCCACTGTGCCACCCAAACTAAACTAAAACCAATTTTGGATTATTCTGAAATGAAAACAAACTAATGGCCTTCAATGTTTCTCTCTATCTCAATCTACCACAGTATAAACAATTTTCTATTAACACACCAGGGAGGTCTACCGCTAACTTATCTGAGCAATGCTGGATTCCATCACAGTTCCAGAAGCACTTTCTGATCTTAACCATTCACAATATCATATGCCACTATTTTGAAACCCAACCTTTTATATCACAGAGTTTTCATTATACTAATTTAGATAAAGCATAGGAATGGTCATATTAGAAACTGTGTAAAATAATTAAATTTATGTTGTCATCCATGCAGAAGCTAGAGAAAAACCATGCATTTTTCCCATCACAATTGTTACAGAACATTTAGAAAACAATGTTTGTGGACCCCTAAAGTTTAAGGTTCGGTTAAGGAAGCTTTCACATTTTTGCTGGTTATGGAAAAAAAACACAACAAATCCGGAATAAGAATAATTAATTGGGGGAAGGCAAGCTTCATTGAAGAGAACAGATCTGGTTCAGATAAATTGGTATCAAAGATTGGCAAGCAAAACCATAATTGAATTGAATTACTTTTAAAGAGGGTGATAGTTTAGGCACAGTAAAATGAACATTTTCATGAGGAGGGGGTGAAGTTGGTTAGACTATTACAATCTTCCTGGATGACAAGGCAGATAGAGAGCAGTATCAAGCAAAGGGTGCTTTTGATAAGTGACAGATGGATATTACAATTGATTATCCAGCTCATTACAGATGGTTCATAAGAGAAAGAAAAGAAACAATTAAGAGAAGCAAAAGGGGATATTGAGAAGAACCTGACAGCTAACATAAGAAGGAATTTGAAAGTCCTCTATATCCATACAAACAAACAATGAGTGGGAGGCTAGTAAAAGAAGGATTGATGTCAATGATAGCCCAGAAAGGATTTAAACATAGAGGTGTGGGTCATGGCTCAGGTACTAAATGAAAATTTTGCATCTGTCTTTACCAAGGAAGAAGATGCTGCCCAAGACATAATGAAAGAGAAGGTATTTGAGACACTGGATGGGGTAAAAAATGATAATGTAGTTGACAGAATGACTATAATTAATCTTGATAATTCACTAATATTGGATGAGATACAGATATGGTTCCAGAGAACTAGAAAACCGTAAATGTTACATTATTGTTCAAATAGGCTGTAAGGATAAGCCCAGCAATTACAGTCAGTTTACCCTTTGTGGTACTTAAGGAAGTAGGTTTGGAAATAATTGGTGGTCATCTTTCAACAGTCTACAGACTCTGGCACAGTACCTACAGAGTGGAGGGTAGCTAATGTAACCCCATTATTTAAAGAAAAGATAGAGAGAAAAGAGGGAATTAAAGACTAGCTGACCTGACATCAGTAGTAGGTAAAATATTAGCATCCATTATAAAAATCTTATAAAAGATTTAATAGCAGTTTGCTTAGAAAATAATAACAAGATCAGACAAAGTCAACGTGGATTTACAAAAAAAAAGGAACTCAAGCTTGACAAATTTACTGGAATTCTTTGAAGATGCTAATATTACAGTTGTTAAGGGTAAGCCAGTGGATGTTGTTTACTAGGACTTTCAGAAGGCTTTCGGTAAGGTTCTGCATAAGAGATTGGCATGGAAAATTAAAATACATGGCATTGAACATTGTGTATTGAATTGGAGAGAGAACCTTCAGAAGCAGGAAACAAGGAGTAGGAATGAACAGGTCTTTATCTGAGTGGCAGCCAGTGACTAGTGGGATAATGCAGGTATCAGTGCTTGGAACATAGCTATTCACAACGTATATTAATGATTTAGATGAGGAAACTAAATGTCTGCAGTATCCAAGTTTACAAGAGCACAAAGTTGGGTCATAGGTTGAACTGTGAGGAGGATCCTTTGGTGTGATTTGAACAAGTTGAGCGAGTGGGCAAATGCATGTCAGATGAAGTATAATGTGGATAAAAGTGAGGTTACCAACTTTGATGGCAAAAACAGGAAGGAAAGTTATCTGAATGGCAATAGATTGGGAGGTGTGGGGAAGTGCAACAAGACATGGGTGTCCTTGTACACCGGTCATTGAGTAAGCAGCCTGGTGCAGCAAGCAGTGAAGAAGGCAAATGGTATGTTAGCTTCATAGCGAGAGCACTTGAGTACAGGAGTTGGGGTGTCTTGCTACAATTGTAGTGGGTCTTGGTGAGACCACGTCTCTATTTCAGTTTGAGACTGTTAGTGGTATATAGTCCATCAAACAAGTATCTAGGAGATGGATGTGTTAGTTTGCTTTCCTCATCTGAGGAAAGATGTTCTGAGGAAAATGTGAAGTGATTCATTTTGGTAAGGCAAGACAATATACAATAAAATGTATAATTCTAAATGGAGTGCACATTGAAGGACATATATGCACAATGAAGGACCTGGACACATATGCACAAACTTGCAGGACTGGTTTAGAGCACAATTTAAAAATAAACAGGATCCTGGTCTCAATGAATGGGGGCATAAAATACAAATGCAATGCAGTGCTTCATGATGAACCTGTATAAAACACTCATTTGGCCTCAATTGGAGGACTTTTCCAGTTCTGGGCACACTTAGGAAAGATGTGAATGCAGTAGACAGGTAGCTGAACAGATTCACAAGAATAAGATTTTTATTTTCCTTTTATTCTTCATAGATTGTGAATATCACTGGCTGGACCAGCATTTGTTCCCCATTCCTAATTACCTCTTGATTTGAGTGGTCTGCTAGGACACTTCAGAGAGCAGTTAATAGTCAATCACATTTCTGCGTGTCAGGAATCACATGCAGGCCAAATCAGACAAGGACAGTAGTGAACCAGATGGGTTTTTATGACAGTTACCAGTGGTTACATGGCTACCACTAGACTAGCTTTCAATTCCAGATTTTTTTTTGAATTCAAATTTAACATCAGCCATGGTGAGATTCAGATATATATCCACAGATTACCAGCCCGGGATTGTGGATTACTATTTAAATGACATTACCAATATGCCACTGCTTCCCCACTGGAGCAGAAATAGGCCATTTGGGCAATTGTGTTTGCTCTGCCATTCAATGAAATCACAGCTGATCTGGTAATCCTGAGTTCCACTCTCCTGTCTTTTCCCTATAATACTGGAATCCCTTAATGATTAAAAGTCTGTTTGTCTTGACTTTGAATATTTTTAACTTCCTAGCCTTGACATCCATCTGCTTAAAGAATTCCATTGATTCTTTTCCCTCAGAGAGGAAATTTCTCCTCATCCCTTATTTGAAGATTATTCCCTCTTGTCTTAGACTCTCCCACAATGGAAACTATCCTCTCTGCATCTATCCTGGCAAGCACCTACCTAAGAATCTTATATTTCAGAAAGGTGCCCCTCATTCTTCTAACCTCCAATGAGAATAAGCCCAAACAACTCAACGTCTCCTCATAAAAAAATCCCTTCATACCCAGGATCAAACTAACAAACCTTCTCTGGGGTGAATCCAATGCCAAAATATCTTTTCTTTGATCAGTGTATCAAAACTGTTCTCAGACTTTTAGATATGGTCTAACAAGTGTCTTGTATAGTTTTAGCAAGACTTCCCCATTGTTATAGTCCATTCTCTTCAAAATAAAGGCCAACAGTCCTTTCACCTTCCCTATTACTTGCTGAACTTAGAACATAGGACAGTACAGCACAGTACAGGCCCTTCGGCCCACGATGTTGTGCTGAACTTTTACCCTAATCCTAAGGTCTATCTAACCTCCACCCCTACCTCATACTATCATCCATATGCCTATCTAATAGCCGCTTAAATGCCCCTAATGAGGCCGATGCGTTCCACGCACCTACCACTCTCTGAGTAAAGAACCTACCTCTGACATCTCCCCCATATCTACCTCCACTCACTTTAAAACTATGCCCCCTCGTAATAGCTACCTCCACCCGAGGAAAAAGTCTCTGGCTGTCTACTCTATCTATACCTCTGATCATTTTGTACACCCCTATCAAGTCACCTCTCATCCTGGGTCATTCTAAAGAGAAAAGCCCTAGTGATAGATTCCTCGTAAGACCTTCCCTCCATTCCAGGCAACTTGTATGCAAGTATTTTGTGATTCATGTATAAAAGACTTCCAAATCCTTGTGTTGCAACTTTCTGCAGTCTTTCTCCATTTAAATAATATTCAGATTGTCTATTTTTCCTACCAAAGTGCAAAACCTCACATTATCTGTCATTACATTCCATTTGCCAAGTTTTTGCTATTCACTTAACATGTTGATATCCCTCTGTATCATATCAGGGACGAGAAACTTCAGTTATGTCAATAGTTTATAGAAGTTGGGACTGTTTTCCTTGGAGAAGTAACGATCTAGAGGAGTTCTGACAAAGGTGTTCAAAATGATGAGGGGTTTAGACAGAGTAGATGAAGAAAAACTGCTCTCATTCACAGATGTTCAAGAACCAGAGGGCAAGGTAATTGTGAAAAAGCAAATGGTTTTATGAAGAAAAGACATTTTATGCAGTGAATGGATTAAGTCTGGAATACACTGTCTGACAGGGTGATAGAGGCATCTTCAGTTGAGGCTTACGAAAGAAAATAATAGTTGAGGAAAATTTGCAGGGTTATGGGGAAAGGTGGGAGGAATGCACAATGTAAATTGCTTTTATAAAGAGCCAGCACAGACATGATGGGCCAAAAGGCCTACTTTCATACTGTAGCTATTCTAATTACTATTCATTATTTGAAGTGAGCCTTGAATTCAAAATACACATTACACATGCATTAAGCAGATATTGTGGTACAAAAAAAAACTTAATAAACAGTTGCGACCTCTCTGCTGAACATTTACACCACTATGTGCAGAGCTATTTTCAAGCTGCAGTTTTCCTCGGTGTACGAACAAGCTCCAATATGGTATTTCTAAGCTGACTGAGCACAGTACTTGCTGAGAAGAAGTAGCACCAATAAGGATGCAATGATATTAGAACCAACCAAATTGAGAATTACTGTAAATTAACAGTATGTTCCCTTTTGAATGTGACTGAGGACTGGAGCACAGTGATAGAGCAAAGTTATGGATATGATTTTGAACAAAATTGTTTTCTTTTTATAAAAGAGTAAAACAGCATGGAAACAGGCTCTTTGGCCCAAACTGGTCCATGCTGACCATGGTGCCCACTCAGCTAGTTCCAATTGCCTGCATTTGGTCCATATTCCTCTTACCCTTTCCATCCATGTGTCTATCCAAATGTTTTTTAAATGTTGCTATTGTATCTGTCTCAACCACTTTCTCTGGCAGCCCATTCCATATACGCACCACTTTCTCGGTGAACAAGTTGTGACAGAAATTAAAAAAGGCTCCTACCAAATTAAACTAAACTAAAATGTTTCACAAATTTTACATAATCTTGAATCAAATGCTGTGCTGTTGCATGTGGTGTGTCTGGTGTGTGTGTGTGTAAACTACACAAATCCCATTTACCTGCACTTGTTCCAAATTGTCCTGGCATTTTAAGCGCTCATCCAGCTTTTTCTTAAATGTTGGAAGAGTACCTGCTTCCACCTCTCAGGCAGCACATTCCACCACATTTCTACCACCCTCTGGGAGTAATGTTTTTTCTCAGAATTCTTCTAAATCGCTTACTTCTCACATTAAGCGTATACCCTCTGGTCTTAGACACATCTACCAACTCTATCTACACGGCTGATAATTTTGTATACTTCAATCAGATTACACCCTCAGCCTCCTCTGCTACAAGGAAAACAAACCCAGTCTATCCAGTCTCTCCTCATAACTGAGATTTTCCATCCCAGGCAACATCCTGGTGAATCTCCTCTGCACTCTCTCCAGTGCAATCACGTCCTAGTATGACGACAGAACTGCACACAGTGTTCCATCTGTGGCCTAACTGATGGTTTACAAAGTTGTAACAACACGTCCTTCTTCCTGTATTCTATACCCCAGGTAATGAAGGCAAGCGTCCCATACGCTTTCTTCACCACCCTGTCTATCTGTGCTGACACCTTCCGGGATCTACGGACTTGATGCCAAGTTCCCTTTATTTCTCAGCACTCCCTAGGGTTCTGCCATTCATTGTATCTACTCTTCCCTCATTAGACCTCCCAAAATGCATCACCTTGCATTTATCAGGATTAAATTCCATCTGCCATTGTTCTGTCAAGTTACCAGCTGATTAATATCAGTCTGTAATTGATGTATGTGTTGCACTGGCATGTGTGTGTGTGTTTACATGTAAATTTTGCAAATTGGACAAGTGCAATACATTTCCCCTGTAAATTCTGATCCATTGAACTGCTTCACAAACCTTGCTGCTTTGACACATGTGAACTATGTCACTTGTCAGCCTGTTTGGGACTATACCTTGACATGGCAGGTCCTAAAGCCCTTTTAAGCAAGATGGGAAAGGAAACAGAAATGTGGGGATTGTACAACACTTTTCTTATAATTTAACAATAATCAGCTGTTTTTCTTTTCACAGCCATTGTTAGAGGTGGGCCACATGTGAGTATGCACCAGCACTTCTACAATATCATACGAGAAGAAGGCTTATTTGGTCTTTATCGAGGATTCACACCTAACTGCATGAAAGTGGTCCCTGCTGTGAGCATCAGCTTCGTTGTTTATGAGGAAATGAAAAATATCCTTGGCCTCACCTCAAATTAACAGCCATGAAAAGCCAAAACATTTAATTCACTCTTCCCCTCCTTCTCTTCAATCCTGAACCAGAAAAGCAAGACCTGATGGAATGGAGAGACAATTAGCAGATGTGTTGAGCAGAAACTCTAGTGGAAATCTAGTGGAGCTATCCAGTGCAACCGTAGTCTGCTTAGTGACAAGCAGACCACTAGCACTTAGCCAAAAAGCCACTTTCAGGCCAATTAGTAGCTTCCAGAACTGACCCAAATAGTCTCTAGAAATTAAATGATTAACCCATCCATTAACGGCCAGCAGCCAAACAATCCTGTCCAGCAAAGGCCAGCACACCAGAATATATACACAAGGGACCATGTCACCAATTAACCAATCCATGAAAGGGAATCTTCCAAACACTACCTCAATCAAGGCCAGCTTAGTTCAGCCATCAGAGACTATTTCATCATACAGAGGCAGTTGACCTGAGACCAGGTCGCCAGGTAGCCATTCCATCAAAGGCCATTTCTACAACTTCTCAAGTCAAACAACAACCTGCCAACTACTGAATCCACCAGAGCCAACCAGACAATTCACCAGAAACTAATTAGCATACTAGCCAAGTGACCAGAAACCAGCTAACCAGCTAACCAACTAACCAATCCACCAGAGACCAGCTCACCAACAGCCAATGCACTAAAGATCAGTTCGCCAGTGAGTCAATCCGAGACAGGCTTGCCAACTAGGTAATCCAACAGAGACCACTAAGCCAATTAGTCTAGCCACCAGAGATCAATTGACCAATCAGTCCTTCCACCAAAGACTATCTCTACAACTTTCCAATCCATTAGAGTATAAGTCATTAATCATTTAATGCAAAGGAGGCAGCTCACAAACCAACTCCTTAAACAGAAACCACCGAGCCAACTAGTCAAACTACCAGAAAACAGTTTGCCAACCAGGCAATTCCATGAGAAACCACTGAATCAACCTCTAGGAACCAGCCTGACAAATAGTCAATGCACCAGAACCTAGTTCGCCTCAAGTCAATGCACCTTAAATCAGCTTGTCAACTCTCCCAACTACTGAGATCACCTCACTAATTAGCCATTCCCCATAGACCATCTCTAGAACATTCCAATCCATCAGAGTATAACGTACAAATTAGATAATCCAGCATAGGCCAATACAGCTAACCAATCAGTCGATCTTCCAGAGACCAGTTTGACAATTAAAAATTCCTCCATACGGCATCCCTATAAATCTGTCAGAGAACAGCTCGGCAACTAGCCAAACCATCTAAAACCAACTTGCCAACTATTCAAAGTGTTAAAAAAAAAGTTTGCTAAATAACAATTTCACCAGAAAATAGTTTGCCAGAGAGTAAACTACCAGTTGACTAATTTTGCCAAAACACCAATCCACCTGAGATCATATTGCCCAGTTTTAATCATCTAGAAGCCACTGTACCAACTGGCCAGCACACAAGACACCCATTTGACAAATAGTCAGTCAATCAACTGGCTAACTAGCCAAACCATCAGAAGCCTCTGAGCCAACCAGCCAATTCAGAGAGTAGTTTGCAAATTTTCCAAAATATCAGAGGCAAGCTTGCCAATCAGCCGATCCTCCAGAGACCACTGTGCCAAATGACTAAACAGAGGCCCCTACCTAACTAGCCTATCCAGGCATTAACTCAAACTAGCCAAATCACCAGAAACCAGCTCAGCAACAAATGCCTAACCAGACATTTGCTTGCCAAAATGCCATTCAGCCAATTAAGTTTTCCACCAGAAAGCAGCATACCAAATAGTCAAATAACCAGAAGCCAACTTGTCAAGTTAGCAATTCACAAGGCAGCTAGCCTACCAGACCCTAAAACAGAGACGAACTCACCAATGAGCAAATCCACCAGAAACCAGCTCACCAGCTAACCAATTCAGACATTATTGACTCAGCCAATCCATCAGACAAGCTTGCCAACTAGCCAGTGTATCAAAGATCAACTCATCAGCTAAGCAACCCACCTGATAACAGCTCATCAAATTGTCAATCAACCAGAAACAATCTTGTCAATTAATTAATTCATCAGATATCATTGAGATAAACAGCTAATCCACTATTGGTGACTGAACCAGCTGTCCAAATAGTCAAGTCCACAGAAAGCTGCTCTCATTAAGCCAATATATCTGAGACCTGCTCGTCAACTAGCCCAGCCACATAGATAATTCACTGTAAAATAAATTTCCGAGGGACCAGATTGTCAATTTGCCATTCTACCAGAGACCATTTCTACAACTGTTCAATCCTTCAGAGTATAAAACACCAACTGGCTAATGCAGCAGAAGCTTGCGTCAACTAGCCTAACTGCACTAAGCAGCTTATCAATCGGCCCCATCAGCAGTGACCAGCTAGACAACACTCCAGAATCCAGCTCAATAAATGGCCAATTCACCAGACACTAAATTGCTAACTAGCCAATCCACCAAACCTTGTGATGTATCTAGCCAATAGATCAGCTCACTGACTAGCCAATGCACCAGAAAGTAGGTTCCAACTAGCAAACACACCTGAAACAAGATCACAGATGAGCCAAACCAGCAGAAACCAATTCACGAACTACCCAATCCACCAGAGATCAACTTGTTAATCAGCACCATAATAAGAGACCCCTTTGCTAACTAGCCAATGCCCCAGATGCTAAAAAGGCAACTAAATATTCCATCTGAAAACAACTCACTAACTAGCCAAACCATTAGAAACCACTTGTCAGCTGGCAAAACCACCAGAAATCAGCAATCCAACGAGACAATACTCCAGAGGCCAAATTAAAATAAGAATGAGACCATATATTTTCTTTTTTGGAAGCATAAATTGAAATGAAACTTGGACTGCTATAACTGAAGTATCAGGAGAGCTTTGCAACTTAAAAAAAAACAGCGCTGCATAGTTTGAGCTGCGAACTACAATGTTGCTTTTTGAAACAGTGAGAGGGGGAATTCAAGACTGAGTGGCACTGAGAATCTTTTAACTTAAGGATATTCTACTTGGCAAGTGTTTTGAGCTGCTGAGTGCTACAAAGCTATAAGCAGCAGTAGCACAGAGAGACAGAGAGAGAGAAAAGAATGTCTGGAGACTGCCACAGAAAGCATCTCTCTCTCTCCCTCTCTCACGTGTAGGAAAGCGACAGAAAACCAACACTGATAAAAAGAAAGAATTTTAAAACAGGAAAAGGCCTAATGCCACCTGATCAACAATCAAATCAAAGAACAACTATCACTCTATAGACAGCAGTGCTTAATTAGTGCTAAAAGTCATAGAGAAAAGACTGTAGGAGGCAATTTAATGCAACCTTGATATCTGGATTTATGATCTTTGGAATTTTGTTTATCCTGTGATTATTCTTTTCCAAGCGTATGTGTTAACCTGTTTGACTTTTGTCTGTATAATTGTGATTATGTATGTATATGGGGTTTTGTTGGGGTATACGTTAGCTTTCATGTAGTAGATTCAAAATCCTTTTTCCTGTTTTTTATTAAAATTTAGTTTGTTACAATTGTGATGAAGCAGAGGAGGTTGATACCTCTCTGATAATTAAAACTGAAACACCCAGAGAGTCTCGCCTCACCTTGTAATCTGTTAAAGGAAATATGAAAAGTGGTACAATCTGCCTCTCATCTCCAATCTGTTATAAAGGAATGGTTAAATGAAAGAAATCCCTGATACTTACTTTATGGGTAACAAGTAACAATTTATTTACCTAACTCTAACAGTGAACAAATTAACAGAACTACTAACAAACCAAACAATTCCCCACTTAACTACTAACAATTCCCGAATAAAACAAAATTCTCATGGTATGCTGTTCCAATAACTACAAGTCCCACTTATGTAAACTAAATTAATTTTAAAAAATTAAACGTAATCTCTTGAAATTACAGCCAGGATAAATCTTACAGAATGCTCTTTGCCATCTCCACTGTCCTCCAGTCAGGAATGCCTTCCTCTGTCGAATTCTTGTGTCGGGAATATTGCCTAAGAGGGCCGCTGTACCTTTAGTTTAGATGATGGTTTTCTGAGAGCTTAGAAAATTCTGTGAGAGTCAGTGATTCTTTTATAGCTGAGAACTGTTCTCTTGGTAGATGACAGTTGACTCTCAAACCGATTTTCAAATGCCCTCTTCTTTTAAACCCTTGATGACCTGTTAATTTCTTATAATAGGATTGGTCTGAGGTTGTCAAGACCATCCGATTTAAATTTAATTGGGTTTTGGTACCTAGGGCCTGGTTTAAATTAATTGGCTAAATTCAAAAACCTGTTGTTTTGGTAAAAATGCTGCTTCGCTTGCTAACAGTGCAGCCTTTTAATACAATGTTTCAATTTCAAGAACTCTCTGTGCAACCACTGCTGTCTGCAAACTTTTTAAAAAATCTCTAAGCCTAAAGAAATGCCATCTTTTACAGGGACCATGCACTCTTCCCTCCTTTCATTTTAGTAACATCAAATACTCTACCCATCTTTGCAATACCTTCCCCCTTAAGAAAAAAATTAACCATCATGATGAAAAGATGGCTTTTTTCCTCTAAATCTTAACACTATTATTGCTAGATCCATAGATCATTAGTCTAGACTTACACAATTTATACTAATTCTATATACATATGTATAACATTGAACACTACCATTTCTGTCTTATATACACATTTTTCTTTCAAACCTGCGATAACGCATCTGTAATAACATTTTCATGACCCGCAACATGTACAATCTGTAAATTAAATCTTTGTACCATAAGATTCCAAAGAAATAGTCTGGTGTTCTTGTCTTTAAATCTTTCCAAAAATGGCAATGGGTTGTGATCAGTGTATACACCTGTTTCTGATACATTGTTTGCAACATAAACATTGAAATGTAGTAAGGCCAGTACCAAGCTCAATAACTCTTTTTCAACAGTTGAATATTTTCTCTGATGGACATTGTGTTTCTTTGAAAAACAACCAATTGGCCTTTCAATTCCACAATCATCCTTCTGT